ACAATAAATTCGCAGCCATTCAGGAGAAGGTATGAAATTGGATTAGCTTTCTTTTTGAATGATTGAACTCTACAAATTTTACTCAATCATCAATCCAATGCAAGGGGTGCGATATTTAAGGAAATGGCTACTTAAATTATTACGAGGACTCTTCGTTGATGAAAAAAGGTTAAAAGTATAAAAGCATCACAATTTGTAAGGTATTAGGTTTTGCAGCTACAGCCCTTTCAGAATTTTCAAGGGGCGCTTCTCATAACGAATATTTAAAGGTGGGTGCAGATTTGCATGACTTTTAGACACTAGATGTGGCTCAATAAGAATATTTCTGAATGTTCTTATTTGGAATTGAATAATACCATCTTATGTTTTTAAACATCTCATATCCAGTCCTTGAAACAGGGTTCGATATACCTGGTCAGTCTTTCATGAAGCTCAGCCAAAATGTAGAACATAGAACGTATAGTAATAGAAGGGATGTTGGAGGAATACTAATCCAATGGTTTTTAACCTGTGGTCCATGGCCCCCTGGGGGGGCTGCAATGTTGTCATAGGGAGCATCCGAAGGTTTGAAGAAATGTTGAGTTAATTCTTGGTGGTCCGTGGTCATGCTTCATGGCCACAAAAGCTCTTTGAAGGGCATCCAAGATGAAGAAAAGATTGAGAACTAATGTTGTAGTCCAAGACTCTGCTCAAGCAGGAGATCCTATACCGTTCTGGACAAACAACTGTTTGACCTCTTCTTGAAAATTCAATTTTCAAAACCTAACTGTGGATGAGAACCCTGAGTCCTGGCATGTGTTGCTTAGACCTGGCTGGGCACATGATGGGTGGGTGCCCAGAAAGTTTCAGATTGGGCGCCAGCCACCACTCTAGTAGTGGAGTGCCATTGTTCTGGAGACTGAGGATTGTTAGGGAGCTGCCCCACAGGCATGACTGAATGTGAGATTTGGGTCTCAGAGATCAATTGGGATTCTTGCTACTGTACAAACCTCACCTTCGTGCAGTAGCTTCCTTAGTGTCCCTGTCACATCTGTTTAATGCCATATTTGGGTTGATAGGCTTACAGTTCTGCGGGCTTCACTCTGCTTTCGCTGGGTATGGATTTGAAGGAAAGGTAGAAAATCATGGCTGCCATGATGACTCAGCTTATTGTGGGGTGGATGGGAGGATTGCACATACCTAGGTTTCAGGGCAATGGTAATGTGATCCAGAACCGGAGGATATTATGGTAAACCATTGTCTAGTAGTACCCCCTAATACTTCCTGTTGACCTCTGGAGCTTACTACTGCATCCTCACATTCCACAGGGGGGAGCTAGACCTACTCATGTTGTCTTCCATGGGTGTTTAATGGATCCGGTTGGGTTTCAAAGGAGCTTGTGGTTGTTCTTGTGGTTGCTGTGGCTTGCCAGTGGCCAGCAGAGCTGGAAGCAGATTCAGACAGTGATTGGGGAGGAACATGGGCCAGTCCTGGAGTCTGGGGAAGGCTTGGATGACGGCTCTGTGTCAGAGGCAGAGANCCTTAGGCATGAAAGCTGGCTGGGTGGCTTTGGACAATCACCAGGAGACTCTGAATTATAGTCCTGCCTTAGGCATGAAAGCCGGCTGGGTGTCTTTGAGTAAATCACAAGGAGACTGTGAGTTCTAGTCCTGTCTTGAAAGCTGGCTGGGTGGCTTTAGGCCAGTCACCAGGAGACTGAATTCTAATCCTGCCTTAGGCATTAAAAACTGGCTGGGTGGCTTTGGGCCAATCACCAGGAGACTGAGAGTTCTAGTTCCACCTGAAGTGCAAAGCCAGCTGAGTGATTTTGAGCCAGCCCTAGGAAGCAGGCAATTGCAGGCATCTTTTGAAACCTTGCCCCCCAAAAATTCAGGGGAGTTGCCAAGAATCAAGATGGACTCATAAGCTCACACAAGTATGCCACATTTCTCATACGAACATCTTTGTGGCCTTGTTAGCAGGTGTTCCACAAAGGCGTATTCTTTGTCCTAACTTGGTTTGAAGTAATAAATCGTCGTTCTGGCATTTAGGGTGTCCCAACAGTTATTTTAAAAGTGAAATTGGCAATTGATAGACATACCCATCTTGACTTAAGGGAAGGACAGTTCTGAAGGATAACAAATCATAAATAATGAATAACATGGATACAGAAAATTGCTACGATGGTGCAGAATACAAATATAGGAACATCAGAGTTGCCCGCTGAAGCTCCTGAGCCGCAGCTTAATAGAAAGAAAAGCTGTAAGTGTCTTGTGATCAAAGTTATTCCTCTCTGGAGGCTTCTGGAGGCCATTGACTAGGTTGCAAAGAAAAGCTTTCTCAGTGACTGATCATTGGAAAAACCGAATGCCTGAATTCCTTCCTTTTACAACTAAACCAGAAGGGAAAGCTACTTGCTTTCACTAGCTCCATTTTACTGCAATATTTTAATGCCTTGCTATTATTTCAAAAAACCCTTTAACTCATAGTAGTAAGATGTTTCCGATGTGTACAACAAGTGGTGTGATACTTTTTCCCTGGACCCAACATTCCTCTTTCTCCCTATTACACAACCATATGTGTCTTCCTTTGACTCCTACTTTGTCAGACCTATTCATATAATTAATTTATATACCATTTTTAGAAACACTCAAGGTGCTGAACATATCGAATACTCCTTCCTGCTCCTATTTTCCCCACAACTACAACCTTGTAGGGTGAGCTGGATTGAAAGAGTGTGAGTGGCTCAAAGTCACCCAGCTTGCTTTCATAGTTAAGGTGGTGCTAGAACTCACTTTCTAGCTCGGTGTCTTAAGCACTAGACCAAGCTCTCACCACTAGACCCAATGCACAACTGCCTTGCAATAATGAGCACCTTAGAATGAGAGCACCCTACATAGCCCAAGATACACAATACACACATACATGCCTCTCTGTTGTTTGCACAGGTGTGCGACCTCCACAACCCCAGACAAGTGAGCTGGGAGGACAAATAAGGATCGGCAATCCATGATCATCAGAATTGCACGTGCAAAGCCAAACCTTGAAAAGATTTCTAACCTTCCAGGACCAGTCAGTTGTTGGTCCATCTAGGCTTACTACTAATTTTGGGGCTTCAGTGGCCAAGTCCTCTCGAATTTGCAATTCCTTTTAAATAAACTCCTGACGCTCAAAAGCCCCTTAACGACTGGAGGACTTGTGGACTTCATTTCCCAGAATTCCTCAGCCGGCCATACTGGCTGGGGAATTCTGAGAGTTGAAAGTCCACAAGACTTCAGCTTGCCAAGATTGGGCACCCTTGCTCTAGATCAGGGGTTGGCAAACTTGAACACTCAAAGAGCCACAAAGATCCTAACGGGAAGCCCCTCATTCAATTCTGGAGCTGACTGGAAGTCCGGTTCTCCCATCATAGAGTCTCCTCCTAGAGCAGCATCCTTTTTCCTCTATCTTTCCTAACTAAAATCCTTATCAATTATGAAGCTGACCGGCAAAAGGGAGCTGCAGCAGAGGGATGAAAGAGCCACATGTGGCTCCAGAACAGCAGGTTGCTGACCCCTGGTTTAGATGGCTCCGGTAGGAGAGAACATAAGTAGCTGGAGGTTGCTGGTTTCTTCTGAATGTGATTGTCTCCCTCCAGCTGTTTCATTACCAGGCTAGGTAACCTCTGTGTGAAGGGGACTGAAGTCTGCTTATATGTGGTGGCTTGCCTTACCCGTCTTCGGTGGGATGGCTTTGTAGCTTTGATAATGCTTCTTCATTGGTGCTGCTCTGGTGATGTTTCCCACTGATCTGGATGGTGGCTGCTCTTGAGAGTTGGAGAAACTCTGTTGTAAGGATCTGAAGTACAGTTGGTCCTCAATTTACAACCACAGTTAAGCCCCAAATTTCAGGTATTAAGTGAAACATTTCTTACGTGAGTTTTGCCCTATTTTACCACCTTTCCTGCCACAGTTGCCAAAGCGAATCACTGCATTTGATCAGTTAGTGACCCGGTGGTTAAGTGAATATAGCAATAGCAGTTAGACTTATATACCGCTTCATAGGGTTTCAGCCCTCTCTAAGCGGTTTACAGAGTCAGCATATTGCCCCCACAGTCTGGGTCCTCATTTCACCCACCTTGGAAGGATGGAAGGCTGAGTCAACCTTGAGCCGGTGAGATTTGAACCGCCAAACTGCAGGTAACAGTCAGCTGAAGTGGCCTGCAGTACTGCACTCTAACCACTGCGCCACCTGGCTCTTCNTTGCCAAGTTTTGCAGATCTCGGCCTGGCAGCTCTCCAAGCCAGATAAGGTCTGTGACTGTAGATCCTCCCTTGAAAGACTTTTCTGGATGTGAATGAGCAGAATCCACAGTAAATTAATAGAAGTTTTTTTTCTCGGGATAAGGAGTTTGCTTCAGGCTCTTGGGAAGCCTCGGTCAGAACAGTGGTTTGGTTCACGGCTGTCCATGAGATCTTGGATGTTTGAAACCAAGCAGCAGCGACTTTAGATCTGAGATCTAAATTGGGATCCGATCTAAATCCTAAGGTGGACTCTCACTGTCTGTAGACCCTGGAGTTCTCCCTGATTTACAGACGATGGAGGATGAAGCAACAGAAAAGTCAGCTACATTGCCGCTGGAGCAAACATAACTGGATAGAAGACGCTTTACCTTATAGCAATCCCTGCCCCCCAGCAAATTCGGATTATTTCACGCCCTTATTTGCTCATTGTACTCTCTGAGTTCAGGGAAGCCTAATCTTTACGAGGCCAGGAAGGGCTAGGGGAGTATCTTTTAGGTGGCTGTGAAGATTGCTTTTGGCGTCCAATGGATAAAATTGCTCTGAGTTAGACTCCAGCTGAGTTGAATTTAAGAATCTGGAGTTTTCACAGAAGGAGTTGCTTGAACACGATCTGAATCCTGCACAGATTGTAATCTACTTGGAAACATGTTGGATGATTGCGTCTGACCTTTGAATGTATTTGAAATAATTCTTGTGGTTGACTTGTATTTATGACCCATCTCTGCTTGCTTTGCTCCAGGTGAAAAATGACTATATGCTAGAGATAGCAGATCAGGTGGACCAGGAAATTGCCTTGAAGCTAGGTTGCCTTGAAATCCGGTAAGATCATCTTTTAAATATTTATTACTAAATAGAACAACTTCACTTTAATCTTAATGTCCTCATCAGTATGTTCAAGCAGAAACTTCAAAATTTATTGTGGCATAAACAGTAGCATTTTAAAATTTGAATGGTTTTCTTAATGTAACGTTATGCTATATCTGTTCCATTCAAGCCTACAATTACAGTGGGGCAATAAAGTATTTAGTCAGCCACCAATTGTGTAAGTTCTCCCACTTAAAAAGATGAGTGGGAACATTCAGAAACATGCCTAATAAGAGCCCCCTGTTCCTGGACTAAACAGACAGGAAATCAATCATTATAAAGTTTTAAAAACTTTATGCATATTTCTGAAAGTCAAACTTTTGGAGGGAGTTGAAAGTCCGTGTTGCCCAGCGACAGCCCCAAAACATCACTGCTCTAGAGGA